GCAGGGGGGAGGGTTTCCCCTCACTTTCCCCCACTTTCCCTCCCGGCAATGGTCAGGACCCTCCTCAGCCAACAACTGCACTACAGGCATTCAGGAAGGGTCGTACTTTCATTGCAGGGCTGTAGATGCAGCAACACCAGCGCTGTTGAGAATGGGAGGGACTTCTGTGGCTGGGCAGGGGGGAGGGTTTCCCCTCACTTTCCCCCACTTTCCCTCCCGGCAATGGTCAGGACCCTCCTCAGCCAACAACTGCACTACAGGCATTCAGGAAGGGTCGTACTTTCATTGCAGGGCTGTAGATGCAGCAACACCAGCGCTGTTGAGAATGGGGGTGGGGGTGGGCGCCATGGGGCATAATGGGACAGAGGGTATTCTGCACACACCCCTCCCCCAAGAGCACCGGCCAATGAGGCGCCCTCCTCCTGCGGGCTTAGAGACCCTTAGGACACTCTCCCACCCAGGGCACCTGCTTCGGAGGAGGAGGATAAAGCTGTTATAGAAGCGGAGGGGGATCTTGAATTCAGGGGGAATGGCTGTTGGTACCGGGGTCATAAGATGTTTGTTCCCCTCTCCCTCAGGGGGGAGGTGTTACAGGCGGTGCATGGCTCCAAACTGTCCGGACATTAGGAGTTTTGGTGGCCCCAGATGCACAAGGACTTATCCTCGTTTGTTCAGTCGTGCCAAATCTGGGCCATGAGTAAACCCTGGCCGGGAAACCCCCCGGGACTATGGCACCCACTTCCGAACCCGAGTCGACCCTGGGGGTTCCCTGCAAGTCATTTCGATGGATTTTATAGCTGATTTACCACCAAGCAAATCTATGACTGTAATTTGGGTGGTTGTGGATCTCTTTTCTAAACAAGCACACTTTATCCCGATCACTTCATTACCTACGGCCAAAGCACTGGCAAAAGCGTTTCTTATGCACGTGGTGAGACTACATATGCTCACCACTAAAGTGATGTCCGACAGGGGAACCCAATTTGTCTCCCGGTTTTGGGGGGAGCTGATGAAACGGATGGGAGTTGAACGTGGCCTCAGTAGCGCCTACCATCCAGAGACTGACGGTCAAACGGAAAGAGTTAATCAGACCTTAGAACAATATTTGCGCTGTTTTGCCAATTACCAACAAGACAATTGGCATGACTTGTTACCCCTAGCCGAATTCTGTTATAATAATACTTGTCACTCCTCGATGGGAATGTCCCCATTTAAAGCGTTGTATGGTTATGACAGTCCACCCATCCCATTTCTGGAAGGGGATCAGGACATGGGACTGGGGGATGCGGCTCAATGGCCTCTTTTATATAAGACGTTGACTGCTGCAAAAGAGGCCTGCAAAATGCAGGCTGATAAGAGAAGGGTGGAGGGTTGGGCTCTACAGCCTGGTGACTCTGTGTATGTTTCTACAAAAAATATCAACATGTTGAGGCCTAGTTGGAAGTTGGGATGGAAATACATTGGGCCATTTAAAGTTAAAAGGATCATCATTGATGTTGCCGTCGACATGGACTTGCTGAAAAATTTGAGAAAATTGCATCACTGTATTTCATTTCAGCCTCCTGAAGAGAGATACGGGTTCCTGTCCCTGACGTCAAGTGAAACCGGTGCCCCCTCCTATAATGATTGAGGGCGAGGAGCATTACAAAATATCAAGGATTCTGGACCCTGAAATGAAACGGGGAAAATTGCTGTATTTGGTGGAATGGGTGGATTTTGGACCCCAGCACCTCGAATGGGTGGAAGTAGGGGATATTCGGGCCCCTGAACTGTTGCGGCAGTTCCATCTGGAGTTCCCGGACGCACCGGGAGACCTCCCGGACTGGTCGGGAGAAGCTGATTTTTGAGAAAGCAGTATGTCAGCTATGCTGCCATGGGGGTTGGGGAGTTCATTCTGTGTCTTGTTAATTGCTATTGCATTCCTATCCCTGCTGCTATGCCTTTGCTGTAACGCTTATCTCTACAGATGTGCAGGAGGAGGTTGTGGTGTCTGGAGAGCTCCTATGTACCGTGAGAGACTCCTGGTTCTCAGCTTCAGCCACCTAACGGTTGCCTGACTTATCCTGCGCGCGGGAGGGTCCCTAATTGGCCAATGCCATGGGGGGTGCATATGAATACCCTATATGCTATTATGCTCTAGTGGCTGCGGCCATTCCTGTCTGTGTTACTGCATCTATTTGTTGTTGTTCAGTCGCACAGTCGAGTCCGACTCTTCACGACCCCATGGACCAGATCACGCCAGGCCTTCCTGTCTTCCGCCATCTTCTGATGTTTGCTCAATTTCATGTTTGTTGCATCTATGACACTGTCTAACCATCTCATCCTTTGCCGTCCCCATCTTCTTTGACCTTCAATCTTTCCCAGCATCAGGGTCTTCTCCAGTGAGTGCTCCCTTCTCATTTGGTGGCCAAAGTATTTGAGCTTCAGTTTCCTTATCTGGCCTTCCAGGGAACAGTCAGGGTTGGTTTCTTTTAGGATTGACTGATTTGATCTTCTTGCAGTCCAAGGGACTCTCGAGAGTCTTCTCCAGCACCACAGTTCAAAAGAATCTATTCTTCGGCACTCGGCCTTCTATAGCTTTGCAATAAAAGTATAACCATTCCTGAATGCGTGTACTTCGTTGTTAGCTGTGGGTTCTGACAGTGGGATACCAATACTCACTCCTCCACTGCCCAGGGAAGGCTATGGGACATGCTGATGCCTCCAGTTGCCTGCCGCTCCACTCCTGCGATCCCAACCCTGCTCCTGTGCACCAGATCCTGCTCATGGAGGAGTTTCCCGACCACCCTCTGCATGTAATTGACATGTCCCACCACACCGCGAAGGACCGAGTCCTCTCCCGCGCTTTGGACTGGGTGAGGAGGGGCTGGCCCACCAGCAGGGTGGGCCTGGAATTTGCAGCTTTCTCCTCTTGCTGGGATGAGTTACAAGCCCACAAAGGTTGCCTACTGTGGAGGAGCCAGATGGTGGTTCCCGCAAGTGCTATCGGCCCTGCATGAGACTCACCCTGGAATTGTGAGGATGAAAGTGCTGGCCCGAAGTAACATGTGGTGGCCAGGCATGGACAGTGAGATAGAGCCCTGGGTCAAGCACTGCCGGGCCTGTCAAGAAACCCAGCTGGAACCACCCAGGGCACCAGTGGGAATCCACCCACAAACCATGGTCCCAGCTACACCTCGATTTTGCTGGCCCCTTCCAAGGACAAATATTCTTCATTTTGGTGGACTCATACACCAAATGGTTGGAGGTCGTGCCTGTCACCTCCACCTCCAAAGCAGCCGTCTGCCCCCTCAGACGGATTTTCAGCACACACGTCCTGTCCAACACAGTAGTGACGGACAACGGAACAGCCTTCACTTCAGGGGAATTCCAGGAATATATGGGCCGCTACCTCATCCGACACATCTGCTCCGCTCCCTTTCACCCGGCCACCAATGGACAAGTGGAGAGGATGGTGCGGACCACAAGAAGTCCCTCCAGCAGATCATCACGGAGACTGGGACTATAGGCTTGCGGCCTTCCTTTTTGGCCACCGAGTGACCCCAAGCACCACCACTGATCACAGCCCAGCGGAATTCCTCATGGGCAGGTGTCTAACCACCCAACTGGACCGACTGCACCCAGATTGAGCCCCTGAGCCTCGCCCATCTCCAGAGAGCCAAGAGGTGCCCAGAGTATTTTTCCCCGGTGACTCCGTCTACGCAAGGAACTTTTCCAGTGGTCCTGCCTGGATTCCTGCCAAGGTCATCCAAGTTACCAGACCCCTGTCCTACAAGGTGTCTACCAATGATGGTCAGGTCCTTCGTAGACACATAGACTAGCTCTGCCACCATCTCCTCCCCACCGAACCTGAGTTGCTGTCAGTGATCACGGAAGACTGTGACATGGAACTGCCATGACCACAGGAACCAGAGACTGCGAGGGAGGGCCTGTCAGACAGCACACGGCCAGAGGGCCAAGGGGGCGCAGTGCCTGATCCAGCAGCCACGGAGTTTCCCAATGTCATGCCAGTGCCGCAGCCTTCTGCCAGCACCATGCCAGTAATGTCAGACCAAGGTCCAGAGACTGTGACCCCAGAGACCGTGACCCCTCAGGGAGAGTCACGACGTTCAACCCGTGAATGACGCAAACCAGCATGCTTAAGAGACTTCGTCTGTTAGGGGGTTTTGGAGGGGTGTTATGTATTGAACCTAAGTGAGCCCTCAAGGTATAACTGGAACTGGTTGAGCTTGCTACTCTAGAACGATAGCTTACCCAGGATCCTGGAGAAGACCAATAGATAAATAGTGTAATGTAAATAGCCTATCCTTGGGTGTGTGTGGGGTGTGATGTTTGCATGCTTTATGAGCAGGGCTCAAGTCTTGCTGCTTGTCCTTGTTGTGTTCCTGAAATCACTAAATAAACTAGGGATGATCACTGCAATGCGTCCAGAATCCAGTATTTAACACAAACTATCTAAATATTACTGTATGCACAACTAACCCACTAAGTATATGTAGAAATATAAAGAAAGAAATGCAACAAAAAAGCACTAACACTAAAGGAGCAATTCAGGACAAAGCTCCCCCCTCTCAACATAGATTGACACAACCCTAGGCAGCAAAAAGGGTTTAACAAAAGGCAAACAGCATGCACGAGAATTTGCAGTTTAGGTCACGATCAGACATAAGATAGCATCTGCAGAGCGAATCCGTATTTTGCTGTTCTTAAGAGGAGAAGGGGGTTGATACGACTTCCTCTTTTGGGATGGTTTGTTAAGATCAGCTGGCAGGGGGATATGGAGATCCATTAGAAGAGAACAACCCATTTCAATATCTTCCGCTTTCAAGTTTTTCGTTGTGCTTGACTTGCAGTGTTGAGAAAACTTTCCATTTATACGCAACACGTGCTTGCCTAAGAGCTTCAATTATAGATTTTAGTTCCTGTCTTCTATTTAAGATTGGGGGGGGGGGAATCTTGGAACACTTGGATGACAGTTCCTTTGAAGACCAGAGATGCTCATGATTGGACCAGTTCCAATTTTTTTTCCTGGTCTGGACATCTGGAATCACTGCCAATATGTCCCTAGGGGTGTCCTCCATGGGGTGTGAGGAGATCCCAATCGGAAAACATTGGAGATAAGCAGGGCCATGTCGCATTCCAGATTTAATATACAGCCATCCCATTAAAAACGATGGTAAGTCTGCATTTATTGTTTCTTGTTCATCAAAACCCTGTAACTTTAAATGAGATTGTCAAGCCGCACATTCCAGATTGAGAACTGCGTCTGCAGGTGGCCGGTTTAGTGTAGTGGTTAAGTTTTGTTGTTCAGTTGCACAGTCGAGTCCGACTTTTTGCGACCCCATGGACCAGATCACGCCAGGCCTTCCTGTCTTCTGCCGTCCTCTGAAGTTTGCTCAATTTCATGTTCGTTGCATCCATGACACTGTCTAACCATCTCATCCTTTGCCGTCCCCGTCTTCTTTGACCTTCAATCTTTCCCAGCATCAGGGTCTTCTCCAGTGAGTGCTCCCTTCTCATTTGGTGGTTTAAGTGCGTGGACTCTAATCTGGGAGAACCGGGTTTGATTCCCCACTCCTCCACTTGCACCTGCTGTTGTGACCTTGGGTCAGTCACAAGCTCTGGCACAGCTGTCCTTGAAAAAGAGCAGTTTGTGTCAGAGTACTCTCAGCCCCACCCACCTCACAGGGTGTCTGTTGTGGGGAGGGGGAGGGAAAGGAGTTTGTAAGCCACTCTGAGACTCCCAAGTGAAGGGCGGGGTATAAATCCAATCTCTTCTTCTTCGTTTCCTAACCACAGAGATCAGCATTCTCCTTGCATTAGCTTACCAAGTTTTAGGGCGTTTTCGGCTTTTTGTGAGTTGCTCTGAATGGCAATGTTTAGGTCAGCCAGTTGGTCTGAGATTGGAGATATTAAGGCTGACATATTAGTTAGGAGTCTTTGCTCCATATTTTTAAGAAAGTCTGTGAGAGCGCTGCTTGTGAGTGGTTGGGAGCCTTACCTCACAGTCTTCAGATGCCATTTTGTAGTCGTCATCTTCTGAAGAAGGAAGAAGAAGAAGAAGAAGAGATTGGATTTATACCCCGCCCTTCACTCGGAGTCTCAGAGCGGCTTACAAACTCCTTTCCCTTCCCCTCCCCACAGCAGACACCCTGTGAGGTAGGCGGGGCTGAGAGAACTCTGACACAAACTGCTCTTTCAAGGACAGGTCTGACAAAACTATGGCTTGCCCAAGGTGCAAGTGGAGGGGTGTGCAAGTGGAGGAGTGAGGAATCAAACCTGGTTCTCCCAGATTAGAGTCCGCACACTTAGCCACTACACCAAACTTGCTCTCCAAAGTCACCAAAACTTTACACCACAGCTTTGATCCGTCTACAAGAATGCCCTCCTGAACAATTCTGTTTTGTGCATGTTGTGCAATGATATAATAGATATGTGGAACCTTCCAAACAGCATCATAGAGTTCCACAATGTAGGAGCCACCACGGAGAGTGCTCTTGAACAGGAAATTGCTGATTTTGCCTGTTTACAGTGTGCCACCTTCAGAAGGCTTTGCTCAGATGAGCAGAGTTCTCGCAGTAGAACAGAGCAGGAGAGGTGGTCCTGCAGATGTGTGGGTCGAATGCCATTAAGGGCTCTGCAGGTGACAGCTAGCATCTTGAACTGAGACTGGTAACTGACTGGTAGCCAATGGAGAGTCTGTAGAAAAGGAGTGATATGCAGATTCCACTTGGCACCCAATAGTATCTCAGGTACAGCATTCTGTTTACCTTCATGTATTATTTTTATTACAATAAACACAGAGCACTCAACACATTGGTATGTAACTCAACAGAATATCCATTTGTGTCTGAGATCTCAAAACATGTGCTTTTAGCTTTTAGTAGCATGGGTTTTTTTTAAAAAAAAGTTCACTTCCCAGGTATGCCAACCTTGCCTCCAGTTGAAATAAATGTGTCCATGGTGCCCATGCACATATATGTAAATAGTTGTTGTGTGTGAGGTTTCCCACACCCCACATTCAAGTACAGGCAATTTGACTGAAGCATTGTGCAATATATTTATTTACAAAGAACTGCACAGTGAACTATTATGTGTGTGTGTGCGTATTTTGTTTTTTCAACTTCTATTGAAGAAAAAGCACAGTTGATGATGGGATGTCGTGCATGGGAAGCTGGCATGGCACCAATACAAAGAAGAGGAACCCTAAATGTGGTCAGCAGAGGTATGGCAGCGAGGTCCACCGGGGGGCTCTTTGCACTGAGCATCACAATTCCATATTAAAGAAGAACAATCAGATGCAACTGACAAGCCTCCGATGCCATTTAGACTAGAACACAATCCCAGCGAGGTCTGGCAGGGAGGTGTGGGGCCGAAAGGGCTGGGAGGAGCCAGTTGGCTACCTGATGGCAGCACTCAGTAAGGAAGACTTGTTTTCATCAGAGAGGAGAGGTTACAGGTTGCCTTGGACCAATCAACCCAAAGAATGCCGTTACATGTGCTATTTTGGTTGGCCCTGATGAGAGAGAGCTAGATTTGTTTCTGTCTCCATATAACCGCTATTTTAAAGGCTGCTTTTGCTTATTCCTGTTTAGGGAGCTTGCATAGGGAAGTGGCCATAACATTATGCTTATTTTGGTAACTCCCTACCTCCTCAACCATTAAATATTTTATACTGCAATTCTATACAGAGTTGCTCTAGTCTAAACCCTTAGTCTGGAATAAGGCTGCACAGAACATGGCACTGTTTGCCACTCCCCCCGCCCCCCCCCCCAGAGGCCCTCTGCATCCTTCTCTCACATTTGCTTCTCTGCCCAGTCGATGCTCACAGGCAGGACTGTAAAGAGATGGGAGACATTTTAAAAAAGAGGTATTAACCAATAACACCTCTTGCACCCCCTTAAAGCTAAGCTACAGAATTTTCCCTTCTCCAAAACATTTCATCTGGTACAGAAGGACTGAAATCCGATCAGAAAAGTTTTATTTGCAAAGAAAATACTGGCAATTTATGTAAACTTACATCTCCACTTATATACAATATGTATACTTTATATACAGGTCATGCTGTGACTCAGGAGGCTGGCCAGCAGACAGCATCTGTGTACCATTATCTTTCTCGCGCCACAATAAGGCAGGCTGCTTGTCCTTTGCCTGAAGCCTGTCACTCAGGAGCTTGCTTCAAACACTGTGTGAAATTAACTGCCAGAGCTGTCAAAAGCAGGAAGCAATGTTGAAAAGCTTGTGGAAGTATTCAGGCCTGCAAACAAATGAGGCACCCGTAGGCAGGCAGAACATATAGCCAGTGTAGTAAACACCCTTGTGCTTCTCCCAGAAAGCTGGGGTGAAATTCAGTCTGCAAATGTCAGTGCAACTTGCAACTTTAGTAAACTTGTATAGTCATTGAAGAATCTTCTAGAAGGATATGGAATTGGCCATTTTGCCATCAACACCTTTTAAACATGACAGACACACAAATGGTTACAAAGTCCTCGATATTTTATCCGCTTACATTTCTGCATTTTATCCGCTTACTATGCTAGAAAACATCTCAGCCGAGGTATCTGATTCTGGCTTCTTTTCTGACCTGTTGATTTCATAGTCGACAAGTAAGCTGTGGTGACTGCCCACATGGACAGCTGCATTCCCTCGCCTTCTGTTCCTGTAGCGTCTCCGATTGTTCAACAGAGGGCAGGCCCATTGCAGGTCAAATACCCACATTTCCATCTTTGCACCACAAACATGTACACGTAGATGTCGGGATGGCTGGAAGAGCCAGCTGGTTCTGGACCAAATTGCTGGAGCAGCTGTCTAGGAGAGGAGAAAATGTTCCTCAAGACAGACGTTCCCTGGGACAGGCCTAAGCATGTGATGTTCCTGCCTGCGTGACTCACAGATGAGAAAAACAACTCTTGCCAACTACCTCAGTTTGTTCAGCTCAAAATGCCCGAAGGCACACAGCCTGCCCCGCCATGGCTTCATTTTAAAACCACTGCCCCGTCAGCAAGATGAGCTTTACTACTCACCAGCGGTCCCACCTGAGTGCCTCCCACGAGGATGCTCACTGGTCCCCGAGGACACAGGTCTCACCCTGTGAGAAAGGCTCTTGGGTGTGCTCCATGAACCCCACGGATCATTCGTGGGTGGCAGGCTTTTTTCAAATCTCCTGTAGACATTTGTTTCTTTAGCTTGGCTGAAATGTGGTCTTAGCAGTGGTGCAAAGTGGAAAAGGAGATTAATGTCTAAACCCCAACATGATTTTCACTCAGGACTTGCTCTTCAGATCTTTCACGATCTGGGGAGCGCCCATTGCCTTTTCACTCGAGCAACACTTCTATATTTCCACAGATCAGCACATGCAAATAAAGGTCACGTATGTGTGATTCAGTTCACCAGCTGAAAAGAAGTGACGGTTGTGGGCTATTCAAACAGCATGAAGAGTCAATCTGCATCATCTAAGTCTAAAGCATTTAGAATACTACCCTCAAAAAAGGTCCCAGGGCTCCTGAAGGCAGGAAAAGGTACCACAGAGCCTTGAGACAAAACATTTACAGTTTCTGCTGAAGCCTTTTTTAGAGATTGCTCCTAAGCAGCTCTACTTAGAATCCTCCTCAAGTTTATTCAGTGGGGCTTACTTCCAGGAAAGTGGTCTTCGGATGGCACTGCTGGTTCCCAGAAGAACATTTAACTGGGTGGAACACAGCTGCTGCCTCGACTTTAGCTCACTCTGATGAAATCAGCTTTTAAATGGAAAACCAATGGCTACAAGGAAGACCTGCCCATGGAAGGGCCCCCAAGGGATCCCTCAGCATCTAGGGCAGGAGCTGCAAAATGACGGAGGCTCTAGAGCCTCCCATTCGCATTGCCTCCTAATATTCACTTTGTGGGCACTGAGCTGTGTTCTATTGTTGCTCTTATGACATTCATTATGCCTGCTGCCTGCTTACTGTGTCTGCTTACAGTTACTGCCCAGAAAATGACTGTTAAAAAAAAAGATCAGATTCTCCATTGGGATCACACAGCCCTGCAACAGAGCTTGTTCAGCTTAGTGGAGAAATACAAACCTACCAAGTTTCTGGCTTTCCTTGGTGTGCACAAGTACCCACACAGACACCTGCCTCCTGCCACAGATGCTCTTGACAGTGTAGCATCCAAGCAGGAAACAATCACTTTGTGTGGCAGCCACAAAACAGGTGTCAGTGCTGCAGTATCTGAAATACTGGAGGAAGGCCAAAGAGGCTTGCCTTCTCCTTCCCAATGCTCTCCTGTCTGCCTTTGTCAATGCAAACCTTGCTCTTCCTGCATTTGCATTAAGGAATAAATAGCTCTGCCACCATTTCTCTCTGTGGCTGGGATTCTTTGGAACAGCAGCACTGTGCAGTACCGGGAGTCTCCTCCTTCCTTTAGGACGCGGGTGCATCTCCTAGCCGTATGGCTCCAAAGAAGGTTGTGTGCTTGCTCATGTTGATGGAGATGTCTGCATGGACCATTTTCACTGCAATCTTCTGCCTGGCTCTGAGGAGGCAGACCCCAGCTGTGTAGCAGGTATTGAAGTTAGTCTTCCCCGTCTCAATGCTTCGAGTGCACTGCAGGAAGGGCTTCTCATCCACCACCACCTCATAGCTTGCAAAATCTGTGAAGTTTATGTAATATACCTAGTAAGCAGAAAAATGGTAGCATTAGAAGGAGGCAAGTGCAAGTCTACTGATGATGGACCCTTGGTGAATTGCTAAGAAAGCAAATGCTGGGTCACATCCATAGCGTCTTGTGCAAGTGCTGCAGGGTCTGACGGCCTAGAACTACTTAGGTGAACAGAAAACTTTGGAAAGTCAAATACTGTTAACAGACTTCCACATTTCAATAACAAACCGGTGACCTGGGCAAGTGCCCACTGGCAAGAAACTGTGTAAATGGTTTTGACATGACAGGGAATGCACGGAACTCTTCAACAGGTGCTGCTCCCAGGTCTGGTTCAGCTCTTCACCTACTGTAGGGAGAACCTTCTTTGTCTGAAAGCAAATGGCCAATCTGCACTGAACACTGCAGCTGTTTTAAAACTAAAGCAAACATCTGTGCACTATGACAAGACATTATCTGATTCAGAAAAAAGATTCCTGACAACACACCCCTGTAGACAGTGACAAGATTAAAAAATGAACAGCTCATCAGTAGATGGCATATACCCAAGTGTTAGCAGGAGCTGTGGTCAGAAGTGACACTCAACACAGTCACTACAAGGGTAAACGGCTCAAGGGCAAGACTGGAAGGGCAAGACTGGAAGGGCAAGACTAAAGGAACGGTAAATTATCTGAGTCTGTTTTCTGTGGAAATCTGATCAAGGATGCTACATCCGCAGTAGGCATTTTGCTTCCCTTTTACATCCCCCCTCCCTGCCACTCTGTGTTCATTTAGCACATCACACTTTCCTTTGTCTTTGTTTCTCAGAAGCCACTTTTTGTTTCCCAAAGCATACAGGAAAAGGAGTTAGGCCTAAGACCGTACTCACTTCTACCTGACTATAGACGAAGTAGGTGCCATCCACCAGTACCTCCAGCTCTCCACTGCGGGCATGCAGCTTAAACACTCTGGGGTTCATGGTGATGCGAGACCAGTCATTCAGCACTCCACCTGAAAGATCTCAGTATGAGAAAATGGCAGTCACTCAGTACCTGTTAGAATGGAAAACGCAATAGCAGCACAAATACAGATTTATGAATACATCTAATTCTCAATGTTGCCCCATCTGTGGAAGTTTAAAATCTGGAGACTGCAGCCATGGACAGACAAGAAAGATCTTTCTACAAACTGAGAAAAGCCACAGCTTTGCAGAAAAATCTGACTCTAAAGAACAAAACCCAAACTCACTGGGGTTTCGCACCCCACAGATGCTTGAAGGAGCCAGTGGGCCTCAGTGGCTGTTTCTGGGCAGCCCCCAGGCGTTCGGGTTCTGTCTGTGGAAGGCTGCTCTGGGCTCCGAGGGAGGGCTCCATGGGGCCAGGCCCAGGGGCAACCACCGGGTGACTTACAAGGGGTCCCCTGCTGGCATTTAATAGATATATTAAATACCGTGACACAGTGAGAAATGCTGGTTCGTCCATTTCCTCCTCATCGAAGCCCCAAAGAACTAAACAGATGTTTCTAATAAAGTTTTTGATGTCCTTTCCACTCTCTCTTTTCTTTTGGGTATTTCTGTCTGTTTTTGTTGTCAATATTTTGGAAAAGATTATTTTTGGAGATGGATTAGTGGACTGTGAAAGGAAAACACATTGCTTATATGGCCTGACATACTAACTTTAGAAAATTATTATTTTTTTAAAATTAACATTTTATTAAAGTTACTGAATTTCCATTAAGCACTTTACAACATTACAGAATAATAACTAATCGCCAATCAAGTATCCAAGCTATTTTTACAAAATAAAACAATTCCCAAGTAACATCTAGGGCATAAATAACATTCAAATGCTCTATATATCAATGCAAAGCCAAAAATGAAAGGTCCAAGGCTTGCATGGTATTACCAGGTTTGTTATAGATCCCTAAGTATTTTCCAATAAAAGGAAGCCATTTTTCCATTAGCAGTAGATGGTAGACACAGTAGATTGAGTGACACAGTAGGTGGAGCTTCGCTATGTTGTCTGTTAGTTTGTCCAAAATAAAATATTCCCAAATCTCTAGAGACCATGACTGTACAGATGGGGGTTCTCCTTCCTTCCATTTTTGCGCTATAACATTTTTTGCAGCTGTAAGCATGATTGACAGGGGTCATTTCCTGCAGGAGCGCACAGGAGCGGAGCTCCGGCAGTAAAGAGCCCAGGGGACGGGCACATGCAGTAAGCCCCGTCCCCTGCTCCCAGCAGCCCTCAGAGCAAGAAGCAGCCAAGTAAGTTGCAGAGCCCCCCGGCCCAAAACAGTCCAGTGGCACCTCTAAGACCAAGTTTTATTCAGGTACAAGCTCTCCCTCCTCTGCAATGACAGATCTGCACGTTCCCCACCCCCGCAATAGCTAGCAATCCAAAACGGTCCCGTGGAGCCTGAGCGGTGGGTGTTGCCTCCTGACACACTTCCGGTGATGTCAGGGGGTGGGGCATATGCAAATAAATTATGCTAATGAGTTATGCTAATGAGCTCCTGGACCGCTTTTTCTACAAAATGACCCCTGATGATTGATATTAATTCTTGTTTGAGATTAGGTATTTTATAGTCACCCCATAAATTTAAGAGGATTGTTTTAGGAGACCGTGGTATAAAGTATCCTGTTATTAACCTTATTTCTGATAAAATTTGGTTCTAAATTTTTTTGATTGCTGCACATAACCACCAGTTATGAATATTGGTTCCTCTTTCCCCACAACCTTTCCAGCACCAAGGAGATATAATAGGAGTAAAATATGATAACTGGACAGGGGTTAACTGCCATCTAGAAATAACCTCAAATGTCTGCATCTATATATTCAATGATTTATAAATATAAACTGAGGAACTCAAGATTTGTAACTATTTCTCTTCTTTTAAATCTTGTTTTATGTTGGCATGCCAAGCCAGCTGATAGTGTAGTGACTTTTTATTTTTGAAGCTAAGAAGTATGTTATACATTTTTGATATTAATAGGTGTTGAATTGTAGTCATTATCTGCTGATCTCAATGCCCTTCAGGAGGCATATCCAGAGAGGCACTCCCAAAGGGCTCTAAAGGTAAGCACCAAAACCTTGAATCTGATCTGGTGCTCCACTGGCAACCAGTGCAGCTCACGCAGCACTGGGTGGATATGTGCCCTCCGTGGGGTCCCCGTGAGAACCTGTGCAGCTGCATTTTGTACCAGTTGGAGCTTCTATGTCAGTCTCAAGGGTAGCCCTACGTAAAGCGAGTTACAATAGTGCAACCTGGAGGTGACCGTTGCATGGATTACTGTGGCAAGGTCGGGGCGAGATAGATAGGGGGCCAGCTGCCTGAATTGGCACAGTTGGAAAAATGCCCACCAGACAACACTGGTGATCTGGGCCTCCATAGATCAAGTGGGGTCCAAGATCACCCCCAGGCTCTTGATGGTAGGTGCCGGTGTCAAAGGCACCTCATCAAGGGCTGGGAGTTGGCTCCCCAATGCTGAATTACACCCCCCCCCCAACTGCAGAACCTCAGTCTTAGGTGGATTCAGCTTCAGCTGGCTTTGCTTCCACCATCCCGCCATGGCCTCCAGCCCCTCAGCCAGATTTTCCAGGGCAGAGTCTGGGCAGCCGCCCATCAGCAGACATAGCTGGGTGTCATCAGCATATTGGTGACACCGAAGCCTGAAACTCTGAGCCACCTGGGCATATAGATCTATAAAGGCATTGGGGAGAGAATCTCCACCTATTGGTGGGTGTCTAGTTGATGACTCTCCTCCTATCACCACCCTCTCTCTATATATAGTTAGAATAACTGCAGCATAGTATAAGCATAAATCTGGGACAGCTAGTCCTCCTTCCCTAAATAGTCTACTAATAGTGGCAAAATGTAGTCTGGATGTAAAAGGTAAGAAGGATTCCTTCAAGCAGAGGAAAGCTAGTCTCAGTGAGTCTGATAAAAGGGAACACAGGCTGTGGCAAATAAAATGCAAGTCTGTGGTCAGGCAGGCAAAAAGGGAATATGAGGAGCATATAGCAAAAAACATAAAGAGCAACAATAAAACTTTCTTCAAATACATTAGAAGCAGGAAACCAGCCAGGGAGGCAGTGGGGGCCTTGGATGACCAAGGGGTAAAAGGAGTACTGAAGGACGATAGGGAAATGGCTGAGAAGCTGAATGCATTTTTTGCCTCTGTCTTCACTATGGAAGATGAGAAGTACTTGCCCACTCCAGAACCGCTGATTTTGGGAGGGGTGTTGAAAGACCTGAGTCAGATTGAGGTGATGAGAGAGGAGGTCCTATGATTGATAGACAACCTAAAAACTGATAAATAACCAGGCCCGGATAGCATACATCTGAGAGTTCTGAAAGAACTCAAATGTGAACTTGTGCATCACTTTGCACTTGCCCACACTGAACCCCATTTGCCACGTTGATGCCCAATGTCAGCTACGCTGCCATGATGTTTATGGACTGGGGTTCATTTGCTTGACCTGTGTACCAGCTGTTGCTGCATGCCTTCTTTGCTTCAGTTATCACTGACCTTCTAGATTGCCTGTGTACTGTCTGGGCATCTTGTAACCATGGGATAGCTTTCGATTGGGTCAATATGTGTTCTAGTCGAGAAAAAGAGATTGAGTTTCTAGACACTCTAAATGACTGTGCTATGGAGCAGATGGTCACGGAACCTACCAGGGGAGAGGTGATCCTTGATTCGGTCCTAAGTAACACTCAAGACCTGGTGAGAGATGTAAAAGTAATTGTACCGCTTGGGAACAGTGATCAAAATGTTGTTGAGTTCAACATTTGTATAAATAGGGAATTGGCCAAAAAGACTGACACAACCACTTTTAACTTTAAAAGGGGTAATTTTTCTGATATGAGGGGACATGTGGGGAGGAAACTGAAGGGAAAAGTAGAAAGGGTCAAAACCATTGGGGAAGCTTGGAAACTGTTTAAAACTACAATTCTAGAAGCTCAAATAAAATATATTCCGCAGGTTAGGAAAGGCACAAACAGGTATAAGAAAAAGCCTACATGGTTAACAAACAAAGTAATGGAAGCTGTAAAAGGTAAAAAGGATTCCTTTAAGCGGTGGAAAGCTAGTCACAGTGAGGCTGATAAAACAGAACACAGGCTATGGCAAATAAAATGCAAGTCTGTAGTCAGGCAGGCAAAAAGGAAATATGAGGAGCATATAGCAAAAAACGTAAAAACCAACAATAAAACTTTCTTCAAATACATTAGAAGCAGGAAACCAGCCAGGGAGGCAGTGGGGCCCTTGGATGACCAAGGGGTAAAAGGAGTACTGAAGGATGATAGGGAAATGGCTGAGAAGCTAAATGCATTTTTTGCCTCCGTCTTCACTGTGGAAGATGAGAGGTGCTTGCCCACTCCAGAGCCGCTGAGTTCGGGAGGGGTGTTGAAAGACCTGAGTCAGATTGAGGTGACGAGAGAGGAGGTCCTATCGCCGTCAACCCTCCTGGCATGGAACCAGGAGGAGGGTGCCCCCGCCTCTAAGGCAGGTACCCATTTCTCTACTTGCAATTACTTTCGAGCCGCTGGGTTGGCGGGAGCTGGGACTGGGGCCGGTAGCTCACTCCGGCCGCGGTGGGGATTCGAACAGCCATTATGGCTGTTCGCTATAGATGTTACTGCAGGTGCTGTTACTCCCTATGCCACTGCTCCCTGCGCCACCGCATGGTTAACAAACAAAGTAATAGAAGCTGTAAAAGGTAAAAAGGATTCCTTTAAGCAGTGGAAAGCTAGTCACAGTGAGGCTGATAAAACGGAACACAGGCTATGGCAAATAAAATGCAAGTCTGTGGTCAGGCAGGCAAAAAGGGAATATGAGGAGCATATAGCAAAAAACGTAAAAACCAACAATAAAACTTTCTTCAAATACATTAGAAGTAGGAAACCAGCCAGGGAGGCAGTGGGACCCTTGGATGATCAAGGGGTAAAAGGAGTACTGAAGGATGATAGGGAAATGGCTGAGAAGCTAAATCCACTTTTTGCCTGTC